TGCTCGTTTTGGATCACTTTGTTCCTCAACATGCACAAGCACAGGGAGCAGGGTGAGAAAGTGCGAGGTTAGATGGGCTGGTTGACACCGAGCTTCTTGGCGAGAGCCGCGAGGCGGTTGTGTTCGATAATGTCCTCCTCTTCCCAGGGGTAGCAGATCCAGACATCGTTGATGTCCTGGGTCGAGTAGTATCGGACGCCCTCGCTGACGCCGTCGACGATCTTGTCGTCTCCCTTGGGCAGGCCCTTGGGGAGGATGGGGAGAGTGCCGCGCTTGCCGCCGGCCTTCTCCTTGTTGTGGACGACAAAGATGGCAAAGCGCGTAGGAGGGAGGCTCTGGCGCTCCTCGGGCGAAAGATTGGCAATGGCATTGGTGACGTCCTTGAGGAGCTCCGAGAAAGCGTACTGGAGCGTGGTTCTCGAGTCGTCGACCTCATCGACTATGAGGACGTTTTTGCCAAGCAGTCCACCAGCATCCTTGCCCTCCTCGATCTTGCCGGGGCCCTTGTGGCCAGTCACAGTCTTGGCGTCAAGCCACTGGGTTCGGACCACTTCGTTACCAATCTGACCCTCGGACGTGCCCGAGACCTCCTCGTAAAGGCTCAGGCCGATAGCCTGGATCGGGATATTGCGAAGCTTGCTTGGGTCGAGCGCAGAAGGCTTCTTGAGGAAGGTTCGGAGGACGCGGGCCGGGTAGAATCCACCACCACCAATGGCGACCATAAGATCCGGATCGAACTCAGCTTTGATCTTGCGAGCAGCCTGGCCGATCTGAACATGGATGTCCTCGTAAGTAGGACGGAAGTGGTCGTCTGGCAGCTGGTCGAGAGACATTATGGGCGATAGGGACCGAACAATGACGGGAAGCAGATGAGTATGGAGGTGTGTGGAGAAGAGAATGATTGACGTCAAACTGGTCACTGCTTTCCTGACGCTTAGCTCTGCATGCACAGTGGACGGGTCATTGTAGTTACACGAGATGTTGACCAAGACACAGAGAAGAAAAAAAAACATGAGCTGGCCTACGTACCGAGAAAAATGTCGAGCGAGTTGCAGCTTCAGAGGTGGGTTGCAGCGCTGTCAGCCGCCCGGAGCTTGTCACATGCGAAGAGGTGAGGTTGAAAAAATCTCAAGCGTACTGCATTCTCAGCACGAGGGACCAAAAAAAAAAAAAGTTTCCGAGTGCAAAGAGCAACCACTCGTGTTTGCCGCCGCCGACTGCACAACGGCAATTTGTCTCCATTTTGACCGGCTTGCTGTGGTAACGGCCACGGCCCGCTCGGCCTTTTCCGTCTGCTTATTGTACAGCACGGTTCGGGCTCTGTGACACTCTGCTTTCGTATGCGTTGTGCCCTCATTAGCAGGGTGGTGTGTCTTCTCTCAATTTAGAAAGGAGTGCGAGCAGCTCGCTATGCTGGGATCAATGTCCTCTAGCTGCTCGTTCAGCATCGCGCACACACCACGAGCGGCAGTACGTCTCGGTATGGCCGATGGCCGCGGAATGGGATAAGCAGCGACGTTGGCACTATGTGTGGCATTGTGCTGTACAGTATAGGAACGGAGGGGAGGTTGGACCTTTTTCAATCATGGCATGGTACAGTACTCGCATCGGATACTCGGAAGAAGGCGAGGGATCGCGTGGTGGCCGTCGGCGTGGGCAGACTACAGCACTGACAACCAGCGGCGACTTTCGAGAAGGCCAAGAAATGAAAGAAAAAAGTAGGCTCAAGAAGAAATATAATCTTATATTTAGAGCGGTGCAGGCCATGCAGGCGGAACGCCAAAGCCAATAATTAATATTAATAATATTAATATGTCTGCAGCAACAAGAACGGACAAAGCCAAAATTTTCCCGGTTGACTGCAATTGCTCGCTTTACTGTACATAGAGATTCCCAAAGTCTAACATCTGGAAATTGCTTGACCACCCCGATCTATCGCATAAATGTTAGGCCTCAAGACACGTGTTTTGAGCCTGCCTGGACGTGAGTGACACTTTCCCGAGCCAAACGAGCGGCAAAGAGGGTGCTGGTTGCTGCTTTGCTGCATGCATCCTCGCCGGCCAACAGCAGCATAGCACAGCGCAGCGCAGCACAGCACAGGCTCACGTCCCCCAGAGCGAACGGACCAACACACAGCACTCTGCTCGCCAGACCGACACTCCAACACCATCGAGCTCCGTCACGCTGCTGCATGCCCTGCCCTGTCCAAATACACACACACACACACACACACAACCTGCCCGGCTGCTGCATCGATAATTTTGTTCGCACTTATCAGCGCTCAATGCTTGGCAGGTAGCAGAGGCTGTCCGCGGTCCACTGTCTGATAGAGAGACACGCTATTGTTCTTCTCAACGACCTCGATCTTGATACGACTTGCGGACGGCCTCGGTCCGATCTCCACTCGTTCTTCCAACTCAGCAGCTGTGACGTATTGAGCACCTCGGCATCTCGACGACATCTCTCAGAGCAAGCAATCCTGAGGCTGCTGGGCATACCTAGCCGTCTCTGGACACCATGACGAGCCGCACAGGAGGCAAGAAGAAGAACTTTGACGATCAGGCATGGGAGATCGAATCTGACGACGACGACTTCGTATCTCAGATTGCGCCGCGCACAAATGTACCTCGTAGCCTTAAGTCGTCGTCGCGTACCTCCTCATACTCCTCGACGCATCAGGCAATGGGGTCCAGCAACACCGCAACTCATGCCACATCTTCTTCATCCGCTTCTGTTTCGAGACCAGTCATCTCCACATCTTTGTCAACACGTCAGCACACCGACTCGCCCTCACCAATCGATGCACCGGGACGCACAAGAGACAGACGTACCAGCTGGACCGTCGTTGATCGCGATGTGCCGGCACGGAGTGCCTCCCTGTCGCAGAGCCAGGCGCCCATCGCCGGAAGCCCTCCCGCTGATCTCGGAGGTGAGGAGTTCTTGCGTGAGGCTGGCGGCAGTGGCAGCGGAAGTGCGAGCGGGAGCGGCTTTCAATTTGTAGCTCCGGAAGACGCTGCAGCGGGCAAAGTCGCGGCCGATGGACAACAAACGTGGCGACAGCAGCAACAGCAGTCTCTCACCATTCAGTCCGATGAGAGCGCCCACGGTAGCGGAAGTGAAACTGATGAATTTGACCTCGAGACAGGCAAGACGGTGCGCCGCAAGCGCTCCACTAGTCGCAAGGCGAGACCAGGCAGGCGTGAGGCACAGTCCCTTGCCAAATCCATCCGTCCAGACCTAGATGCGTTGGTGACGGATCCCGCCAACGCTCTTGCGAAGCTCTCGCTTTCGTGGTGCTCGGCTGACGTCGCGGAGCCATCAACTCCGATCTCTGAGTCCGGTCGAGACTCGAGCGCAGAGTCGAGGGAACGTACTGATGCATCTGGCATGGTGCCTACGCCTACCAATTCAGGGTTCACGTTCGATCCAATTGCGGCTGCCGGCGACGGACTTATCATTACGGGGCCAAGCTTTGTCGATGCCGCGGCAGACGAAAGGGGGTCAAACGCCAAATCGATTTCGAGCGCCTCTTCATCGTCGTACACCGCGGGACGAGCTTCATCTACGAGCCGAAATGGGCATGCAGGTAGCGATGCGTCTTCCTCTGGGAAAGCGAATCGAAGCGCCCACCAACGAGGTGCAAGTGGAAGTGGCAGCGGCAGTGGTCTCCTCCGCAAGCGCAGCGTCCGCACGGCACGAAGACGGCAACAGCTCCTCACGTGTCTCTCCAAGCAGAGTATCGACATCGGTCAGTTGCGAACGCTAGCATGGGCCGGCATACCAAACGAGCTGCGACCTGTCGTGTGGCAGCTTCTACTCGGCTATCTGCCCGCTGTGGCGTCAGTTCGGCCGTCGACACTAGCCCGTAAGCGCGCAGAGTACGCCGCGGGCGTCAAGCTCGCATTTGCAAAGGGCACTGCGGCTCTGGACCAAGCCATCTGGCACCAGATCCACATCGACGTGCCACGCACCAATCCCGGCATCCGGTTGTGGCAGCGCGAGGCGACGCAAAAGGCACTCGAGCGGATCCTGTATGTCTGGGCCATCCGGCATCCGGCCAGCGGCTACGTACAGGGTATCAACGATCTGGCAACACCCTTCTTCGAGGTGTTCCTTAGCGCGTACATCGACTCGGACCCAGAGATGTTTGACGTGGCGCTGCTGCCGCCGGGCGTGCTCGAGGCCATCGAGGCAGATACCTTCTGGTGCCTTTCCAAGCTGCTCGATGGCATTCAGGACAATTACATCTTTGCGCAACCGGGTATTCAGAGGCAGGTGCGACGGATGGGAGAGCTGGTTGCACGCATTGATGCGCCACTCCACGCCCATCTCCAGGAGCAGGGGGTCGAGTACATGCAGTTTGCGTTCCGCTGGATGAATTGTCTCCTGATGCGCGAGATGAGCGTGCGCAACATCATCCGTATGTGGGACACGTACCTGGCCGAGGGCCCGGACGCATTCTCCGACTTTCATCTCTATGTTTGCTCGGTGTTCTTGCACAAGTGGACCGAGAAGCTTCAGACGATGGACTTCCAGGGTATCATAATGTTTTTGCAGTCCCTGCCGACCCAAGGCTGGTCGGACAAGGATGCAGAGATGCTTCTCAGCGAGGCCTTCATGTACAAAACCCTCTTTGGCAACTCTGCTCACCTTCACAATTAAGGTTCCAAATCAGAGGTAGGCCAGTCATGGCGTCTCGAGCTGTAGTAGCAGTCGATCACAGGCACATAATAGATCGAGTGGCCATTCGCACTTTAATTCTCGACTCGCATGATATGAGAAACGGAAACCCATGTCGACGCAACCGCTGGCGTCCCTGTAGCGTGAGAAGAGAGGTGAGCTGCTGGCGTGGTCGGATTCAAGCGGTCACAGCTGCTAGGATCTTGAAAGGTGCCGAAGTGAGTCTAAGGCGCTGTGTGATAAATTGCGGTACACAAATGTCGATATATATACAATACTATATAATGGATGTATTTGTCAGCGACCGACATAAGTGAATCGCCCCTTTAGCTCAGTGGGAGAGCGCTCCACTCGTATTTCGTTTCGAAATGGAGAGGTCACTAGTTCAATCCTGGTAGGGGGCAAATATGGATCGCTTTTTTGATATTTTTTTCTGGGTTCCTTTTGCTTCTTGCCGCCGGTGAATTTTTGTGCCCACAGGCACACGCGTATCTAAAATGCAACACATATCTGATTTCTTGTTCTTCGCATAGCCAACACACCTTTCCTTCGCCCGTCGCTGAGAGCTTCTGCACTTCCCTGTGACAAGTGAGGCAGACTTTAGCACCTCGATCCGCTTCAACAACTCCTGACCCTGCTGCCGATTCAGTCACAGCAGAGCCGACTCTTGCATCGACATGTCTTTAACATGAGTTTTCACAACTTATCGCAGTACGCCCGGCGCGGCTACGGTAACCCCTTCCCAACTCTTGTAAATGTCGACAGCCTCAACGTAGCCCTCGCATCAAGATTGCTGCAGGAATCGCGGTCTCGACGACGATACGCGACAGCCTCACCATCGCTTTGCACAGCTTCAGCTGATGTCACGACGGCGGGAGACGCTAACGATCCTACCCATGCCGCCCGACCTACCTCTAGCCGTAAGGCACAGATGGCTGAGGGATCCGGTAGCCTTGCAAAGCGACCAGTTCGCACGACAGCAACACCAACCGCATCTTTGAATCGTATGTCCAGATCTGTGCAAAAGGGCAAGCGAAGAATACAGCCCGCACCTCATCTGGGGCGTCTTGATCCGAGCCTGCCGCTCGCTTTTCTCGATCGAAGAGAAGGTACAGGCAGTGTCGGCGACTCGCCCGGGGAGACCGCAAGTGGCCGCGAACGAATGCGCGACGTTGCTCGGAGAGCTTCTCGTTTGGAAACAGCTCTTGAAGCCGGATCAGCCGATCGAGTATGGGATACGCTCTCCGATCTGGCTAACTTTGATGCCTCGAACGCGTCTGGCCGACCCAGTCCTCTCTCTAGCCATACGAGCGCTGTAGATGTACTGAGTGCCAAAGACTATCAGCGAGCGCTCCGAATCCTCATCAGCCGAGGGTCACGCACTAAGACGGATGCAGCCCGCATCACTCGGGTAGTGTCTCAGATCCGTCGGCAAAGTCGCCGACTTTCGGCAAAGATACAAGCAGCTACAGATCAGGGCCAGTGGGAGCGTGTTCGGCTCTACTCACGCCAGCTGGAAGACTGGAACGCGATTCTGACGCCAGCTCTGCTCAATCGAGCGATCGCGTACTCCGGCCATGGCCTTCGTACAGCGACAATGAACGAATTCGAAGAAGTCCTTGACCAGCTGCTCGAGATCGGCGATTTCGGCGCTTCTGCATCCAAACAAGAGCCAGACCTAACCGCAAAGCGCCAGCCAACGTCCTCTAGAGCGGCTCGCTACCAAACTGAAAGCATCCACCGAAGTGTCCAGAGTGGCCTACGCTCACACGATCGCGCTGCCTTTCCGGATGTGGTCACGTACAACACCGTCCTGTCTATACTGGTTCGCATGCTGCATAGACGAACGCCGCAATACAGGCCGACCGATGTTGAAGGACCCGACGAGGACGACACGCTGGACGCGCGCGCCGCCGAGCTGCAGCAGGCCCGAGTTCGCGCCCGCGATGCAAACTTGTCCGACAAGCTTCGGCGGCTGCAGCTGGACGACGGACCTAGCGGTGGCGTTGTCTCACTCGAATGGGCCGACAAAGTCTTCCACTCGGTGCTGCAGCGCATGCAGCATCAATCAAAAATCGAGCCTGATTCAGTCACTTTCAACACCATGCTGAGCATGTACTGCCGCTTGGACCAGTGGGAGACGGTGCACCAGGCGGTGCGCGCGATGCACGACAGAAACATACTCAGGACCGAATGCATCAACAACGTCCTCTGGTTCTGGATCCGTCGTGGAAGCAGCAACAAGGTCAAAGATACAGCAGCTGTCACTACCGCCGCCATGGACGACGCGCTCGAGATCTATCGACGCCTGCGCGACAATGTAGTGCAGCTCGAGCTGGGAAAGCGCTATTCCGACGTAGATGCGGACGAGCGATCACAATATGATGCTCCGCATCGATCATGGAAGTTCGTCAGGGCTGATGAGGACGACGGTGAGGTGCACGACCCATCGACAGGGAGTGGATCGGCGATAAAGCCAAAAGGCAAGTCAAGCCAGCACGAAAGCACATCATCGACAATGCCGGCCGGCACGGTAACAGACATGCGTGACGATGCCCTGGGAAGGGTACTGGGTATCTCTGATCTACCTATGGACCTGGTACCCAGCGATGTGACCTACTCGCTCATCATCAAATCGCTGGCTCACGAAGGTCGATTCGCGGATGCGCTCGGCGTATTCAAAGACCTCGTCTCGACACCCAAGGGCTCAGCAATCACCGACAGGCTCGACGGTATTGTGCAGCACGACGCCATGATGCAGCCCAACCTGGGAATCTTTGACAGCTTCTTTCGAGGCTATTCTCGGTTCGGGCGTCCCAGCGAGCTGGTTCACTATGACGAGCAGGACCCAACGAACAGTACATGGCAGCGACTCGAGTTCGATGAAGCCCCCAACGAGGGCGAAAGTGACATCGAAACGGATGCAAAAGCCCATGCAATAGCTGAAGAATTGGAAGACGAGCATGGAGAACAAAAGGCGCTGTGGACCATGTCGACCTTCAAAGAGATCTTTGTCGCCTTCTTGCGCTTCCAGCCTGACGAGAGCGAGATCTGGCGTGCTGCTGGCACCTCTTCTGACCCCGCACAGCGGAAATCAGGCCAGGTTCGAGTGCCACAAAATCGAGATCTGGCCGAAGAAGCTCTCGCGGGATCGCATACGGCAGCAAGCAGTCGAGAGGCCTACGGAGCGAGTGGATCCCCGATCTCGTCCTCGGCAATCCGGGGTGGACGCACTCTCTCCGAGAAGCGACAACTCCCCTTGACCTATTCAGACCTAAATATCCGACAGCGTCGTCTGCTGAATGAGCTCCGACGATCTCCCTCCGCCAAGCAGTTGTTCTGGATTCTCACAGCAATCCGTCGAGTCAGTGGAGATGAACCTAACTGGAGTCTCGCCATGTGGTATCAGGTCGTCGACAAATTCGCGTCCTCACACAGCAGTCCTCATGCGACCAGCACAGGCATTGCACACACACGATCGTTTGCCTGGACAGACTTTCGTCTCGACAACCGTCTCGAGCGAATCGTCGAGTATCTCGAGAAGAAGCGCCAGGTTGACCACTCTGCCGATGCCTAACCTGCGAATCGCTCGCTGCGTAATAGAGCATGTCCACTTCAGTGAGATCCGATCATCTTTGCCGTGCTACTGTGTGAGCCTCAAAGACGGTCCATCTTTACATGCGATATTCATCAGTAAGCGTCGTTGTGGCATCCGTGAAGGACTCGTTGGCGTCGTGAGAACTGAGCAGAAGGACACGCGCAGTGACACATAATTTAGATGTTAGATGTTAGATCAATGTGGTCCAGTCAATTGAGGGACTAGAAATATTTCTCGCATCGGGAGATGCACCCGCACGTGACAAAAGCTGCAATTGATCGCAAGTCGGCCAGTGCTTCGGAAGAGTGGGAAATGACAGAGTCGAGATATCGCAGCTTGACATCGCATCGACAGTGACGGCGTCGGCGTCGGCAACCTTTTCTCATTCGTACCTGTCCTTTACATCTGCCCCTTGACACCACTGTCTCTCCACGCTCGTCTCTTGTCCGTAGGAAAGGAGGCTATACAGATCAGATCAACCGACAATGTTCTCGACTCAACTGTTGCGGAACGTGTCTTCGACATCACGAAGCACGTCTTCGTTCTCGGCAGCTCACACCGCCTACGTCAAGAGCCTGTACCGACGCTACCTCAAGAACTCGCTCGACTGGTGCATCCGAAGAGACGTCTGGCGTGACCGTGCCATTGAAATCCGCGTCGAGTTCGAACGCCACCGCAACGTCCGCAACCCAAGGGAACTCGCCTCCCTCTTCGAAAAGGCGGAGAAGGAGCTCAAACGTGTTCAGCACCCCGACCCCTACAAGCGTGAGTATGCCAGACTCTACCTTTATATACCGATACATTTGCCAGAGCGACAACTGCAGAGCCCGAGCAGTTACTTCGAGCGTGACCAGAACCATCTGGAGGGACATGAACCTAGGCTTGATTCGGTAGTCTTAAGAGCTGTGCGTCCGTCTCAGCAGCCATGAGTGTTGGCCATAACTGGCCTAGTCATCTAGTCGGACCCTTTGCTTCAGGCCCGGTCAGGCCATAGTCGCAGCTAATCTGCTCCTGAAAAGAGAGCTGCGTTTGAGTCGCTATGCCCGAGTGCCCGCGAATACTTTGACCACACACCATGACATCATCGGCAAAATGAGAATTCAGGCATCACTGACACCTTTTCTCTCTCTCTCAATTCCCTTCATTGGCATCGAATGCAGCTCCCATGTTCGAGGACGGAACCAAGTGGGAGCGAAACCTGCCGCCGCCCATGTTCAGCGAGGCCCAGAAGAAGGCCGCCATCGAGGGTCAACGTCCCCACTAAGTCCTCTTCGCTCGGAGCATCATTCACACAGCATTGAAAGAGCCAGAAGTGCAGATAGCCTCTCGTTCCGAATCGAAGCGATATACTCAGATCGAGACTCAGGGACTGTGTCATATCAGAAAGCAGGTTAGCGATGCGCAAGCGTCAATCTGGTCATGTCGGACAACGCAGGCGATGGCGATGGCGACGGCGACCGCTTACGGGCAAAGTGCCTTGAACTGAGTTGCATACAACGGATGAGAGCGATCGGATGACTGGACAAGGGACAGAGGAGCTTTGCCGAGAACTTGCGAGAGATGCATGAAATGAGTGCAGCGGGCCTACTAGACGGGGGTTTTCAGCAGTTCGAGCGAGAGAGAGCGGACCGTTTTCGTGGTCGCAACATGCAGAGTGTCGTGAGAGACCGGGGAGGAGCCACTGGCGACGGAATTCTGACTGGCCCAGAGGATCTGAACGATGGGTTCGTCGCCGAGTCTGTGCTCGAGGAGAGGGTCACGGGCGTTTCTCAGGTCCCAGATTCGGATGTGGCCGTCCTCTGCGCC